ATGATAATTATATTACTCATTATTTCCCCCCCCCCACCCCCCACCCCGCCTCTGGGTTCCGTGGTCCTATTTTGGGGTAGGAAAAACAGACTCACTACCCCCCCCCCCCTCCCAATCCAAAATGAACTAATTAGGGACGTTTGCGTCGAAGTCAGAGTGAATCTGCCTAAGCGGCAAGAAAGCAACAGTCTGCATACAAATAAGCCATACTTGTAAAGCAGATCCGCACGCAAAATTCAAGTTCCGAAGCAAGTAAAAAATAAATCAAGAAGTGGACGAACAACCAGACTATTCCGCTCGAGATTACATCAGTTTACCGCAAAGAAAAATAAATGCTCACTAAAATCAATATTTGGCTTGTTACCTGGCCAGTTCCCTGAAGCCAAACTTCCGTTTGGGCTTGTCTGAAGGTTTGAGTTTGTCTCGATCTTTCTTCCACACGTGAGTTCTCCAGGCTTCTTCCTAGAGGAGACAGAAGCAACAGTACATCTGTGTTTAGCTGTATGCGATTGATGGTGGAGGAGATAGACACGGCTGAGCTGCAGTAACATTCTGACTGTATCAGTAACATATAAGTAACCTATCTGCAAGCTATGAGCATATTAATAACCTATTAGTAACTTATTAGTAACCTCTCATCCTATCGGTAAACTATCAGTAACCTATCAGTAACCTATCAGTAAACTGTCAGTAACCTATCAGTAACCTATCAACCTATCGGTAAACTATCAGTAACCTATCAGCCTATCAGTAACCTATCAGTAAACTGTCAGTAACCTATCAGTAACGTATCAGACTATCAGTAGGCTGTCAGTAACGTAGCATTAAACTATCAGTAACCTATCAGTAACCTATCAGTCAGTAACCTTTCAATCTATGAGCCATGTGGTTTTATAGAGGCATGAAGATAAAATCCTGCATAGAAAAACAGAGTAATGAACTCCTACAAGACATTGACTCATGTCTCATGTCCGTCTTGCCTTGCCTCTGAGTGTAGAGTGTGGACCCGATCCCCTGGTCCCTCCCAGCTGTACCACTCTCTCCAGTCCATAATGGTTCTGTTGGTGTCTCAGCATTGTTCACTTGTTGGAACTTCACCACATCAAGCATATCCAGCCAGTCTGTTTGCCTGTTGATTTCCTAACACTCCTGCATGGCCCCAAGGATTTATATAGGATTAAGAAACTCATCCTTGAGATGGTACTCGTACAAGAACCTCTTTTCAAGCCTTCAATGGTAGTGGGCATATAGGGCTAGACCGATAATTTATAAACAAATCGGCAGTCGGTGGGTGATGTTGTCATCATCACGTCGGCTGCCTTTACTTCCTAGGACTTAACCTGGTACCCATTTAAGGCTAGGTGGACCTTATAGCTAAGGTTTTTTTTTCAGGTGGGGGGGGGGGTATTAACTTCTGTCAGGGCCAGAACTTATGACCTTCCTATCCGCAGTCTAGCGTCTATCCCCTGCACTACCGCGGCTCCCATGTTGATCATAGAAAGAAGAAACCAAGAACAACCGACTCACCTGGTACTCATACGATGGCTTGAGCTTGTACAGAAGCATCTCCTGATGAAAGACCTCCAGAATGGACCCGCTCATGGGCGGCACCACCCAGACCCAGTCACCGGGACATCCGCCCCTGAGCTTGTGCTCGTTCTCCATGTGTTTGATGAACGACTCGCTGGCCGCATGATGGTCTGTGATGGTGACGCCGCTGGTCTGTTCGCCAAAAAGAATCATATTAATTGTTTCACTGTTATCTTGGGTAGAATCTAACTAGTATGAACTCCATTCATCCATCCATTGATGCAAACACTCCCCCCTCCCACCTACTCTACATTCATCCACAGCCCAATCTAGCCACCCATCTATTCATCCATCCATCCATCCACCAATCCATCCGTTCACCCGTTCCATCCATCCATCCAACCACCTATCTATCCATCCACCTATCCATCTGTTCACCCATCCACACACCCATCCATTCATCCATCCATCCATCAATCTATCCATCCATCCATCCGTCCATCCGTTCATCCATCCATCTATCCATCCATCCATCCATCCATCCATCCATCCATCCATCCATCCATCCATCCATCCATCCATCCATCCATCCATCCATCCATCCATCCATGTATCCATCCATCCATCTATGTATGTATCCATCCATACATCCATCCACCCACCCATCTATCCATCCACCCATCTATCCATCCATCACCCATCTACCTGAGTCCACCGCTCACCTGAAAGCTGTGCAGAACTGCCACATTACACTCCACCAGGGCTCGGTCCTTCCACAACGAAGCACTTTTCCTCGTGTCCAGGCCCATCTTCACAGCGATGGTCTGAATTAGAGAAACAACATTTTCAACTCTTCAGCACCTGAGGTAGATTGCAGTCTAATCATTAGCACACACAGAAAAGAACGCCACACACACACACAAACACACAAACACACACACAAACACACACAACTTTAGGTATAGGGGTGAGGGCGAGACTGCTCAGTCTTCTATACACTTTCTACGGTTGGGACGGGAAGATGTTCAAGGGGGTGTGGGAATAAGCTTTGTTTACATGCACAATAATAATAATAATGCTTATTATTGTTATTATTATTATTTGTTTATCAAGCGGTATGGATGATTGGAAAAAATAATACCAGAATGCATGTTACCATGACGGAGGGGGAGGGGCAGGGGCTGAACAAAACGAAGATGGGCACAGGATATAAGTGGCTCCTTGGATATGAAAGTACATGAGGGGGAGAGCTGGCGAGAGACCGAGATTCTTTCAGGCAGAGAGCGACGTTTTGCAAAGGACCTGCAGCGTGATGATGATGTGTTGATTAACAAATAAATACACAGTGTATGAAAAAATCAATATTTTCTACGATACCCTATTCAACCTCCGACGTTGAAATAATTAAGGCACGTGTAACAGCCTGGTACGACATACAGGACAGTTCTTGAAACAGACTAAACATGTTTTCCTGGAAGTCAGAGTGCATCTGTCTGAGTACAAGGAACCAACAGTCTGCATATAAACTAGATATGTAGAACGGATGTGCATGAAAAAATGTAAGTTCTAGGCTAAAGTCCAGAAATGGACGAACAACAAGAACTTTTCTACGGAATGCACACTAGAGAACGCTTAGTAGAAGAAGACGGAGAAGAAGAAGAGGAAGAAGAAGAAGAAGAAGAAGAAGAAGAAGAAGAAGAAGAAGAAGAAGAAGAAGAAGAAGAAGAAGAAGAAGAAGAAGAAGAAGAAGAAGAAGAAGAAGAGAGTATATTAATCGTCTAGCTGACAGACATATGGGAGATAACACCGTTGATGACTAAATAGCTGGACTAAATAATGAGTAATGTCCTCTTGGTCGTATTCGTGACAGAGATCAGATTTGGGCGCTACTAAATGAGGTTAAGTCTGTCTTGTCATGTCTGTCTGAATACTGCAAATCTTGTTAATGTGATGCTGGTAGCGTTTAGCTTCTTATTTATGTCTGTATTATCCCTGACACGGGATCACTCAGGTGCCGTCTCCACAGTGATGGTTGTCTGCAATGGACCTCCAAAACTCTCTCTGCCTTTTGTCTTAGCTGTACACTCTCTCAAACTGCTGTTCATTAATCTTTTGATGTTTTCCTGCCACTTATCGGTGTCTACCTCTTGCTCCCTCTTCCTCGATATCCCCCCACCCCCAGTATTTTTTTTTTCTTAGAAAGAGTGTTATGTGTTTTGTGGCTTAGTTTTTGCGAACGCGCTGTGGGTTAGATCCCAGCTGCAGGTGATTTGTAAGCAGACCGTCATGGGGTAATTTCGACAGTGACACCGAAAGCTGACCGTTCAGTAGCAGTGCCAAACTACTGACTTAAAATTTGCTTAGAAAACCCACAAAAACCAAAACGATGCTAGGGTTGGTTCTGTAACGTCCTGTAAAGGATACGCAACTAACTTAACTATGTCGAATGGGGCCGAACGATTTCAATTGCCTCATTTTGTTTACAATTTTTTTTAGCATTTCTGCTTTCGGTAATACCATGAACTTCTCAAGAACCTGGGTATTTGATTGTCATTGTTTAAATCTTTTTCTTCTTCGCGTGAAAAATCGAGCGCAAATTATAGTTGTTCGTCCACTTCTGAGCCTCAGTCTTGTCGTAGAGAACGGAGGTCTCCCGAGTGCTGTGATGTCGATTCTCAGTTCAACATTTACCGTTAGTTCTGTCAGTTAGTTTCACTGACAGAAGCACCTCAGTAGTGTACAAGTCAGTCTTTGGTATGTTATTCTATCAGCCTTATCATTATGTACCCTGCCTGTCAGCGCAGGTGCTCAGATCTCTCCCCAGATCTCGGTCCTTGAATTCTGAATCAATTCCAGTGATGACATTCCCCCATGCCATCGCTTCAGGCCGTCAAGCGTCGTCTCTATTGGTCTCCCCCTGCCTCTTCTACCACTGATCTTTCCAGCGAATCCCCGAATCACGGGGTTTTCCGATGCCTGTTTCCACTCAACATGACTGAAGAACAACTGACGGACTCTTTCTTATAGTTGTAAATGTAGTTTAAATTGTTATGATTGACTGGTACCTTTCCGTCTTTTCAGACGACTGTGTTATATTGCGCTATGAGGAGCATGGAACTTACAGTCCATGGCAATGGCGAGTGTGACTTGCAAGACCCGCCCGCGTTAAGAAAAGTCTTCCACGATTATAGCATGGGATCTCACACCCGTTGTTGTCAACATTTGTATTTAGTCGGTTTCCTGTCAGACGCTGAGCTCTCATCCTTTCTGACAAAATTTCTTCTTTCATTCTCATTCCCTTCCTGATGTGTGATAATAAAAATCCGGAGGAAGAACAATGGGAGCAAGAGATTTTCAGCGATATAATTAGAGATATCAGACAACATTTAAAACAGTTTATAGGAGAGAACGGTTAGAGATCCATTGCAAACAACCTTCAGTGATCGATAGATACAATTCAACAAACAAACCTCCAGCATGTTGTATCTGTTGGGGTCACAGAAGTCTCTGGCCCCGATCTCCGTTCCCATGTACCAGCCGTTAAAGGGGCAGGCTGGAAACTCTAGGCCCCCACAGTCAAACAGCATGCCGGACACAGCGGGCAGGGCGTACCACTTCAGCCCCAGATCTGCGAACCACGGGTATCTAGAACAGAGAAATTGAAGTTTAATATCAGCGTATTGGGCATATAGGGCTAGACCTATATATTTTATAGACCAAACGGCGCTTGGTGGTTGGTGTGTTCGGCCTCACGCCGGTCGCCTTTACTTCCCAAGACTGTACCTAGTACTCACTCAAGGCTGGGTCGACCTGGGAGCCAGGATCATTTTTAAAAAAAAGTCCAGCTACCGTCAGGACCCGAACCCAAGGCCTTTCGATCCGCAGCCTGGCGTCTAGCCAACAGACCACGGCCACTAAAGTGATGTTAATTATAGATCGGTGCATCGATGACCGGATCGCCCATTGGCTCACTGGTAGACGACTTCGTCGCAGGTCGGGATAGTACGTGGGTTTATCTTTTTTGATCGCATCAACACTGCAAAAATCCTTTTCAGGCGGTTTTGGTGGCATGCAATGTATTCTCAACTTACTGTATGGCACAGAGACATGGACAATAAAATAAAAACTGGAAAATCGTATCAATTCTTTGGAGATGTGGATATACAGAAGATTAGGTCGTATTTCATGGAAACAAAAGCTATCAAATACAGAGGTACTTAGGAAATTGGGAATGAGAAAAGAGTTGCTAGGTGAAAAAAAAAAGAGACAAGTGAAATATTTTGGCCACATTAAAAGACATAACAGTATTGTAAAGATCATCCTAGAGGGAAAGGTTCAAGGTAGGCGAGCAAGAGGCAGACAGCGTTACAAGTGGGAGGATAACATCAAGAGATGGACGAGCAGCAGTATGAGTGAGTTTACATCTAGGGCAAGAGACAGGGCTTGTTGGAGATCCATTGCAGCCAATCTTCATTGTGGAGACGGCACCTGATTGATAGATTGAATGCTAACACATGTTGTGTGTGTATGGCGCACATAAACCTAGCCACAATTATAACTTAAAGCTATCGCTTGGAGGATGCTGTTGAACAGGATATTTTTTTCCTCCAGCAAAGCACATTCTTCTTCTTCTGCATTTCTATGATACAAAATAATGTTGATAAAAGGACAGCCATCGTGGTGTGGTGGGTAGACGCTCGCCTCTGGCGTTAAGGTTTTGGGTTCCAACCCAGACTAAGCAGGAATTTGTTTTCGAAAACGACCTTGGTCCCAGGTCTATCCAGATTTAGGTGGATACCAGGTAAACTCCTGGGAAGTAAAGGCGGCGGGCGTGATGCTGACCACATCACCCACTGAGCACCCATTGGTCTTTGAAATATAGGTCTAGCCCCTGGATCATGCCGACATTGTTAACACCGTTAGAGAGGTAGGATGTTCAAAGGATTTCGGTAGCAACACATCCACATCTTTGCTAAGAGTGCAAGAATTGGGAATAAAGATCGACACAGCCAGGCACGAGAATCACACCAGACACACAAGAAATCTTGCCAGCCATCATAGCACTGGGACTGTCAACCGCGGGACGCTGATGTATATGTTGAAAGGGGAATCTGAAAACCTATTGACGTGTCTGTCCGGAGTGCCGTGAAGATGAACCAAATCATAACTCACAACACATAACTCATGCCAATATCGCCTGAAGGTATGAAATAGGGTCTTTTACTTATACTATGTGCCAGCTGATTTGGAAACCCTGTTTTATTTTTCTTTATCTTCTCCTTCTTTGCCTTTGAAAGAGCTGTCAGTACGCTGTGTAGTGGTTTACAGCTGAGCTGTGATATCTGCACATTGCGACATAACACATCATATTTAAACAAAAACTTAATTACTTGCCTTTTACGAGATGCTTGTTGGCAAGCCGTTGATTATTATCTTCCCCTCCCCATGCCCCGAACCCCAAATAGAGCCCTGGAACCGGTGCAGATTTATCTATATAATGCCAGACCCATATATTTTTAGATCAGTCGGCTACCTGGGTCATGTGATCACCACCACACTGGCCGCACTTACTTCCCAGGACTTTACCTCGTGTCCAATTAAGGTTGGGTCGGTCTTGTGGCTAATTCACGCCCGAGTGCTGAAGAAGGCTGGGATCTTTTCCCGTGGACTTTTAGTAATATCCCCTGGTCGCTGGGTAGTAAGATCGGACACCCATGTGTATTTTTGAGGAGGTAAAAAAGTCCCTTCGCAGTTGGAAATCGAAAAGAATAGCCTAAGTGCGCTGCCCCGACAAGATTTAAAGTTAAAAATCTACATAAACTATTTCAGAATCCTCGCCGGTGCTACGGAGTTTGTGCTCTGCGTGGAGATTCTTCAGACTCAGGCTTGAGTTAGAAGTAGAACGGAGTGCTTATGGGTTACACCCGTGTGTCGTGATGTTCATCCGTTGAATAAACATTAGACATAAACTGGCCGCATTTACTTCTGAGGACTTTACCTGGTATCGATTTTAGACTGGGTCGGTCTTGTAGCCAATTCACGGTTACTTTGTTCAGTTCAATTTTCTTTGTCAAAATTGGCAATGGTTCTTATATAAAGGTAGAAGACGATTTTACTGTCTCTTTAACTGGGAGCCAGTTTCAGAACTCACGGGTTCCCATTGTTCCCAGTGTCTCTTGTAGAACGAAGAAAGAAAGAAGAAGAAGAAGAAGAAGAAGAAGAAGAAGAAGAAGAAGAAGAAGAAGAAGAAGAAGAAGAAGAAGAAGAAGAAGAAGAAGAAGAAGAAGAAGAAGATAATTAGCACAAAGAAACCAGACCGCAATTATAACCGATATAGTTAGCAGTAGGTTGAACTTGGTCGATATATATATATATATTTTCATAAATGAATATATGGATGAATGGATGGATGGATGGAAGAGTGTTTTTTCCTCGCCTCACTGGCAGATGCGTTTTGACTTTGAAGGAAGCAACCAAAATTAGTCGATTCTTAAAACATACATGTTTGGAAACAGTGAATCTCTTCTTATATTCCCCCAGAATGGAGCCCCAAACAAGTACGGGTATTGCGATGGAACTCACTTGGGATGCTTCATGTTGACTTCCAGCACTAAGTCATGGGGAATCTCGAACCACTCGGGATCTGAACCAGCAGCAGATAGCACTAGAGGCAGTATGTCAAACTGTCCGTACTTGGGCTTCCATCCGATCTTGATGCATTGCTGCAAAAAAAAAAAGGTAAGGATGGACATTATTGTTGTTGTTCTTTGATTTTACTGGCGAATCAGCCTCGCATACATGTGGAAGGGCATCTGAGACAACGGATCAAGTCCTTCAAGACTGTACCAAATACAACATACCAAGGAAAAACTATTTGCCGAGATAAACATAATTGCAAGTCAAACGTTACGGCTTGCTGAGTGAATTACAAAAGACAGGAAGTTGATTGATGATTTGATTTGATTCAAGAACCGACATCACAGCACTCGGGGCATTCATATTAGCACTCCGTCCCTATCTTCAGTAGCCAGCGAAGAGTTCCGATACTAGAGGTGCCAGTAGCATTCTGATTAAACGTCCGTCTTGCATTTCCTCTGAGCCTCGAGCATCTGCCAGAACTCTCGTCACTCCCCCCTGCATCAGTCTCACCAGACTGTGGTGATCCATCTGCTTCTCCGAACTGTACACGCTCTCCCACAAGGCACTAACCACGTCTGCCTTATCATGCATCAGTGAAGTTCATACTAGACACAATATCGTAGATGATCTTTTTGAAGCACACGAGAGACGAAGAAGAAGATTTGAAGAAAAAAAAATGGTCACATTAAAAAAACGTCAAAGGAGATATTAGTTTCAATTTTGGAATTTTTTTTTTTTTTCGTTTGCCAAGTTTAAAGTCGGCTGTGTTTGTGCATGATCAATGGTTTGTTGTTCTTTTTATGGTGTTCTTTACTGTATATCTGTGTCTTCTGTGTTTATCCCACTGAAGGTTCATTTGTGCCCTACCCTAAGTGTGCTTTCTGTTGTTTGCCTGTGATAAGGTTGTTTATATGTCATGTCTTGTTCTTTTTATATCCTGTTGAAAGCCTTGGTTTCAGTGATCGTCTGCCCGGCTGTTTTGGTGTGCCCAAGTCTTTATTTAGGTGCTTGTCGGGTTCACTCTCGGTAGTCCTTAAGTGTGGCACGGTTTTTTGTTTCTTTCGCGGCGGCGTCGTTCGGACTACGAATGCAATTTTTATGGAGATCCCTGGTAATCGTCGCCGGAGCTAACGGACTTAGTTGTTTGTGCGACGCTCTCGGCAGACGGCTCGCCTTTCTGTGGGCGAAACCCAGGCATATGAAATAAAAGCCTCGTGCAATAAAGTCAACCCTCTTGATTTCAACAAAAAATTTTACTTATGATCATCGACGTGTCGACGGGTCACCAGCTGCTGTTGATTGTTTGATCAGCTCCCACCAGCTCTATCAATCAGAGGCAATGGACTTTATGTTTGCGTGTTTGAGGCCTGACCATTCAGCCACATTATTTAGCCAGGTCTTTCTTTTCTTCTGCTTCTTCTCCTCTTTTCTTCTGCTGAGCCGTGTAGTACCCTTTCGGAGAGGGTAGTAAACTTCTTACAGGATGGTATTAATCAAGTAACAGAAAGTATTGTAAACGGCACTCACAGAAAGAAGTAGAAAGATAGAAGAACACACTAGACAACATAAAAATCGAAAGCTATAGTTACCGTGCCGGGAATTGAACCTGTCACCTCCAGACGGCGTCTGCGCCTCGCCATGAATACAATTCTGTCCGTATTCCATAGTCGTGGATTTCAAGCTGTACGATAGACATGGCCAATGAGACACCTTTTTTGGGGTGCCTAGTTGACCATGTATCTTAGTGCACTTGTATTCATGGCGAGGCGCAGACGCCGTCTGGAGGTGACAGGTTCAATTCCCGGCACGGTAACTACAGCTTTCGATTTTTATGTTGTCTAGTGTGTTCTTCTATCTTTCTACTTCTTTCTGTGAGTGCCGTTTACAATACTTTCTGTTACTTGATTAATTCATAATATTTAACGGCCTCAAATGCTTCCCCCCTCTGTTTATTTACAGGATGGTGTCGTTACGTTTTCCACTTTCTCACTGTAGCTAAAAGAGTTTCGTCGCCATCTGTGGCTAAGGTGATACTTATGCGCTTCTTTACTCCAAGGTGCATGGTTCGATTCCAGCTGCGGGCAATGTGGCAGTAGACCGCCCTGCTTTAATTAGTTTTTTTTTTTTACTATGATATCAAGAGCCGACCATTTAGGGCGATTGCAAACTACTAAATGTAAAATTGTTTAATAAATCCAAAACACCCAGTAAATACTCGGGTTGCTTCTGCAACGTCCTGATAAGGATGCGCACCTCAAACATTATTAGAGTTCATAGTTGCTAATAGTAAGAACAAAAATAATTTAATTTTTCAATAACACAAATACCAGTAAAATCTGAAGACAAGATGTAAATTATCAGTCAAGTACCGAAACACCAAAATCAATTTGAAAAGTTGATAATCTAGAACTTTTTAAACATACAATATGTGAAGAACAACACACAAATAAATTCTCTTCAACGATACATACAACTGATTGTCGTGAATTACAGAAGCATTAACTGTAAGGAACTAATCAGGAATTAAATATCATGAAATACTCAACACAAAACTCGCAAAGAATATTAAAGAATAAACAAGACTAGAACTACACAAGAACAACACACACGTAGGCACGCACACCCACACCCACCTGCGAGCGCACACGCACAAACGCACGCTCCCACACGCACCCACACACACACACGTACCCACAAACACGCATTCTCACAAGCACACACACAAGAACAACTCGGAAAACTAACAAGAATTACACATGTACTGGCAGACAAAGAACTACAGAAAATCGATAGGAAAAGAACTACACAAGAATCATTAGGAAAAGAACTAGATAAGAATCAATAGGAAAAGAACTACACGGGATACAATGACAAAAACTACACAAGAACCGTCAGATAGAGAACTACACTGAAACAAATTACAAACACTACACAAAAACCGACAGGACAAGAACAGTACAAAAACTGGAGAAAAAAAAATGCCGTCAGGGAAAGAGCTACACGGGAACAAAACTGATAAGAACTTCTCAAAAGGCAGCCATTACCTCCGTGAACTCCACATTAGCTGGATCTCCAGTGACGGTTCCGTCTTCATTCCGGTACCCCGCGTACCGGATCAGCTGGGCATTCCACACTCGGAAGTCCCTACGTCCTTCCTTGCGCTGAGGGAAGATGGTTATGGCTGACCTGGGGAAAGGATTTTCATGAAGGCAATGGTCATGCACTCCGAATGGATAAAACCAGACTCCCTCATCAAGCTCTCATATGGACACAAAAGGGGAAAAGAAAATGGGGACGAACAAGAGAGACCCTGTGTAGAACCATCATTATGGAAGTTAGTCGACAGATTATCCTCATTGCACGTTGAACTACCTAGTCCATAAATGCCCGGATCCCCTCCTCAGTACATCAGCAGCTTGTAGCGGCGGACGACACCAGTTCTGTGTTGGTTTATTCTTCTTCTTTGACTACCCGCGTAGATGATGATGGTGATAATAATACCGATGATGATGAAGAGGAAGATGTGCCGTTGAAGATGATGATGATGATGATGTCGCTAATGGTGGTGCATATGATGATGATAATGATGATGATGATGATGATGATGAGAGACGATAACGATAAAGATGATGACGGCACAATGATACAATGACATTCGCCTACCGAAGGTTCCCCTTGTTAGATCCATATTTGATGTGATTACATAGGGCCTCGTACATGCCTCGGGTGGTGATGATATGGCGGGCGTCGAAAACCTGAACGTGGACAGACAATTTGTTTGTGGGTCCTGGTCAGTATATGGTCAGTTTGTGGTCATTGGGTGGTCAGGGTCTGGTCGGTGGGTGGTCAATGTATATATGTATGCAGGTCTTGCTGTCTGTCTGTCTGTCTGTCTGTCTGTCTGTCTGTCTGTCTGTCTGTCTGTCTGTCTGTCTGTCTGTCTGTCTGTCTGTCTGTCTGCCTGCCTGCCTGCCTGCCTGCCTGTCTGCCTGCCTGCCTGCCTGTCTGCCTGTCTGTCTGTCTGTCTGTCTGTCTGTCTGTCTGCCTGTCTGCCTGTCTGCCTGTCTGTCTGTCTGTCTGTCTGTCTGTCTGTCTGTCTGTCTGTCTGTCTGTCTGTCTGTCTGTCTGTCTGTCTGTCTGTCTGTCTGTCTGTCTGTCTGTCTGTCTGTCTGTCTGTTTGGTATGTCTGCTCACCTGTAACTTCGACCACTGAATCCTGCCGATACACCTGGGCGCGTTCCTCCAGGCCAGCTTGGCGCCAAAATTCAGCTCTGCGGTGGTGAGGTCATAGGTTCCCATCCTTTCCACAGATTCCTGAATCTCGCTCCACCGTTTGTGGTGAGACGCCGTGTTGTTTCTGTGAGAAAAACAATTGGGTAGTGGATGTCGAGGTAGGCTTTAAGCTACGATATGAAGAAGTGTGCAAGCGGGGCATGAATGATACAGGTCGGTGGTTTTTTTCCTAAAAATCCCCTTTGTCGACTCGGGACCCTATTGAAAGTGCTGGGGCCGTTAAAATGAAATATTAAAATTTAACCTAAAATAAAATTGTAAAAACAAGTTTTAATGAGGGTTTGAAGACAGGACCTTGTGCCGGTCAAGCACATGTGATAACCACTTCACTATAGAATCATGTGATAACTACTTCCTTGTGGAATCATGTGATTATAATCTGAGGTACTAGTATTTAACAATGTTGTAGACAGACACATGTATTGTCTGCTAGATAGTCGAAAAGTTCTGGTTGTTCGTTAACTTCTGGACTTTGGTCTTGTATCAGAACTTGCTTGCTCATACGTTTAACAGATCTGACATTTGTATGCAAATACTGGTTCTTTGCTGTTCAGCAGTAAACGACTGACTACGTTTCAAAAGAGGTGGCAATGAAATATAGTTTTGTCAAACTAATTTCTTCAAGGAACATAAGATATATGCTGTAAATGCTTAAGGGATATAACTTCAGCAATTGTTAACTTTTAGTGATTGTGGTGTTAATTGACAGAAATGTATAGAAATATTTGCCGTAAATAGCATTGTTAAACTAGAGATTGTAGCCAAATCGCATCTGGAAATTTAACCCTTT